TTAGTAGTAGTGGTAGAAGTAGTAGTAGTAGTAGTAGTAGTAGTAATAGTATATAGTTGCAGTAGTAGTATTTGTTGTTGTTGTTGTTGTAGTAGAAGAGTAGTAGTTGTTGTAGTAGTAGTAGAAGTAGTAGTAGTTGTAGAAGAAGTAGTAGTAGTTGTTGTTGTTGTTGTAGTAGTAGTAGTATCATTATTATTACGATAAAGTCTACGGAATTGTTTCCATTGCGTCGACCTAGCTCGTCCTAACTTGGCATTCAAATTATAACATGACGAAGTGACCCGCATTTATAGACCGTGACTGTATGCATTCTTAATTGACCATGTTCACCTCATTCAGTCAACATTTCATCAAATGTCTCTCTCTCTCTCTCTCTCTCTCTTTCTCTCTCTCTCTCATAAAAATGTAATATCCTGTTTACCTTGGAAAGGCGTGCAGCAGGATCCCTTCATTATCGGTAAGGTATCGATATCAAGCCGAGCTACTTGACAGCTAACTTGAAGAGTTAATCCTACTTAATTTCCCGCGCATAGTGCTAAAAGAGAAAACTTACCTTAAGTCAACATTAGGTCAAGCCCTACTTATTACTCTTTAAAATATTGATGAAGTAATTTCATAGCAATTCCAAAACCTTTTGCACTGCCTGTAGAAATCTTGTTCCTATTAAATAATATGTCAGTGTAATCTGTGATATTTACACTTCAAAAGTTGGTGATCAGTACTGATGATATCCTGGGCTTATAGCGCCCAATACATAGACGATGTCTCTAATCGCTTTACAGCTATATTATTACCCCAGTCATCGGATTCAGGCTTGTCCTCACACTGTGAATGCACATTCTCCACACCCTGGGGAGCATTCCAGCCCGGCGTCATTCTACAGACGCTCACAATGCTTAGCAAACAAAAATGCACATTTAAGATATGGGTGGAGGATGGCAAATGTTGATTAATGCCTTGTCGAATGACTTGTAAAAGTGTAGGCTGGGTTTGACCTTAAAGCTTATCTGCCGTAGTTTACAGGAGGGATTAGACTGCCCTGCAAGGTCACTGGACAGGTGGTTATCTCATCAACTCAGCTCTCAGTTAACATAAGAAAAAGAGGATCATGGGGGACCACTGGTCACCGATTAGGCATTGTTTGTTATATAGAGGGCGCAAGTAGTTACAAGTAGTGCAGTGGGCCTTTAAGATTGAGAGTCAAGTGATTGAACTACCCCTACACAAGGCTTTGGAAATGGCCTTTGCTTTTAATGTTTATGCCTGTGCGATAGTGTTACAAACGAGACAAGTTGCATCATCTAGGTGTGTCAATGGCACATTAAAACCATTAGGTTAGTTCAGTCAAATTACTGACGAGAGATAGAATGGTACACATTAATTGATGACACCTTGTGGAATCCTCGGTTAACCTATAGCACGGGCTGAAACCATGACGCTGCAGTTTTATCACGATCGAAACCAGGGATTGTACACCTACTGATGACAGACATAGAGCGTTTTTCTTCATTATCCAGCGCCTACTTTTTATGTGAAGATGATTATAGGTTCATCCATGTTATTTAGGACTATCGAATTCATTGAATCATCTATATAAGTATCTACTGCTCTTTGATTACCCTCATACGTGTATGTTTATTCGAAGTTACGTACACGTGTAAAAGATATGTGGAATTCAATACAGCGTACATTCAACGTCCTAAGTTACAGAGACTGATTATTAAAGAAAATATTTATGGCAGATTCAAAATTAAAAAGCGATTAATCTATAGGAAAGCATAGAAATCAGAGAAGTAGACTTGTAGACAAAATTATGGAATTTTAAAAGTTGTTATCCGTATATGTATGGGCCCTTCAAATTTGCTGAATTGGTAATGTCACTGAGACGTAGTGCACGACAACTTTCCCATTTGTTTAAACACATATTCCATGACTACGTGATAATTCATTGCTAATTTGAGATTCGCAAAGATCTAGTGCTCTTATATATCAAATATTCATATATCTCTTATTTATGGTCCAATTTATTTCGCATATTCTCAATTCTGTTTCTCTTCTTTTCTGCTTTCATACAAATGAAATCATTACAAAGGTTTGATTTCCCTTGAAAGTGATTATGTAATGTGACGAGATTACGCATGAGATCTATCATTAAATACTTTCAAATATGCATTGTAATAGTGTTACGTTAAATTGTTTGATCGTATACCAGTGTTCATTGTGTTTAAATAAAACAGTGAATTTATCTACCGTTTAAAACAAATATTTCCTACGTTTGCCAATTCAACAAAAGTGGCTATATTCAGTTAAATTTCTAATTAACAAATTTTGTTGATGTTTTTTTTTTCTTGTTTATATTGTTGTCTATTCAAATAAAAATTAGACGTCTCAGCCTGGACTTGATTCGACGTCCATCTTTATGAATATATTCTCTTTGAGGAGAAATTATGTAGAAGAGAACGTTATCTAGAATACGCAAGGTAATTTCATGAGCACAGTGGAATCTCCCCTCCCCTTGCATCTTATGGCATGCAGGGTTCAATTCAATTCAATTCATTCATTTCCATTTTCATTAAAAAACAATACAAAGATATATGCAAAAATAAGCATTTGCAATATGTACGAAAATGAAAAAAGGGAACAAACAATGGCCTTGTTGGAGGCATAGTTCCCCGAACAGTAGTTACTGTAAGAGATTTACTTACAAACAAAAACTAAAAAGGATACATACATGACAGGAGCACCATTCATGATAGAAGCAATCATTACAAAATCATAAATTTGAACACAGTGAAAGGTAATGTAATTATTAGTACAATAATCATTGATATTTAGATATAAGATGCTGCTTCAATTTTCTTTTAAATAGACGCCCTTCGTTAAAAGCTGGTTATGTGTTTTTTATAAAGAAATAATGACTGCGCTTGGGAGCTAGGCTAGCTGTAGCTGATGAAGACATCAATATATAATGAAGTTAATGACTTTCTACGGATATCTGGACGAGAAATTCAACGTCATTCCCTGTAGAGGGTCATTGGCAGTAACCCAATGTCGTAACCTAGAAATCGTGTTCATTTCCTGCAGCTAATTTATCTCTGCTTATATTCCTTGCAAACTGGTAGGGTAAACTTCCTATAATATAATTGGTAATGATAATACAGGTATACAGCTGGATTACGCCATGATGCCTGTTAGTTTAAACATGTGCTTTTATTTTCGTTTCTATTAACTTGAATTCGACTTCCTAATTTCTTGAAGTTGCTGGATTTGTGTTAATGGATATGCAATTATCAATGCTTCAAGAATCCGTATTGCTGCAAAAGACACAACAAAACAAAACAAAACAAAAAACATGATCAACCACTCTTAAACCCTGTCCTCCCCGTCACCCTCTCTCTATCTTATTCTCTCTTTATCTCTCCGTCTTATCTCTCCGTCTCTCTCTCTCTCTCTCTCTCTCTCTTTGTTCTCTCTTTCCTTCTTGATTTCTCTCATTCACCTCATGACCCCTACCTTCCTAAAACATTGAAATTATATCTAGTTTCACAATTCCCATGTTTCTCACACTTTTTCTTTTCTTCCAATCTCTTTTTTCCTTCTTCATATTTACCACCGTTTCATGTCTTTTCCGTTCCCCTCTCCCAGTCTCTCTATCTACCTCTCCCCTACGCAGGCCCATATCTCCCTCCTATCACCCTCACTCCGTGTATATATATATATATATATCTGTGTTTGTCTATGTATCTTTCTTTCTTTTGCTGTTCTAACACTGTCTTCTTGTACTTCTTTATACTTCACCTATTTCTCTGTTGTCATCATGAACTCTTAAAGGTAATATAAAGTTTTGGTACTGGTCATGAACTTGGTTCAAATGAATATATTGGAAGCATATACGATCCTACAATATTCAGTGATCGTTGTCGTGGTCGAAATCGACTCTAAAGTTATGAAATTGTAAATAATAGACATTTTATGTTGAATAGCTCCCTCTCAAGCTCAAGATATTAATTAAGCTATAAAACAATGCTTAGTGACTAAAATCGACCGATTAGCTATTGTCGTTCGGAAATTATGTACCACAACTACCTACTCTGAGATTTTCATGGTCGCAGCTACTATTGTACAGCCGTAGGAGCTATTTGAAATTTATCAAAATTTACCGGGAGCACCGGTAAATCTTTATATTCAATTTTTCTCGAAAGCAGAAGTGTTTTAGGGACTAAAATTTCTGCTGTTTTTAATACATCCACAGGGGCATCCAAGTATATCAAAATGGTAAAGAATTACTATCCACCCATTTTTCAAAAATTCAAAAAAAACTTTGTAATACCTTTAAGGAGGCCCCTCTTGCTCCCTTCATTTCTATACATTTGTTTGTTATTACAACATCTTTCTCCCTCCCTTCCTCTCTCTCTCTGTCTCTATGTCTCTATCTCCCCCTCTCCCTTCTCTCTCTTTCTACCTCTCTCTCTGTATATATTATATATAAATATATATTCACTATCTACATGTACCTATCAAGCTCCTCTCTCGGTCCCACGCTCTCCCACTGTCTCTCTCTCTCTCTCTCTCTCTCTCTCTCTCTCTCTCTCTCTATTTCTCACACTGTCTATCTATCTTTCTCTCCTGTCTTTCCCGCCCTCTCCACCCCTTCTATCTCTCTCTCTCTCTCTCTCTCTATCTCTCTCTCTAACTCCCTCTCTCTCCCTCTGTGTCTTTTAAACCCCTTTTTCTGTATCTCTCTTTAATGCTGTTAGCTTCCCCTCACACACACACACACACACGCACACTTACTTGATGCGAATCACACCTAACTTCTCCCCATCTCATATCGTCCTTTGACAAGCCAACACTATTTAAGTTGTTTATCTATTTCTTCTCTATTTTTTCTAATCGCATTTATACATAATCTTAAAAGATATTTAGTGTAGTAAATCAATTTATTTTCTACCTCATAATTCTTTTAGATAATCAACAATGTGTAGCCGAAATTGCAAAAGTTCAGTCTCAGGTTGTTCTTTGAAAGTTTATTCACACAATATCATAATGGTATAGTCTGTAGAATACAACAATACTTTGAATAATATATTCATCAAAATCAAGAACTTGCTTGATTCTTACGCATTTCATGCTATAATCAAGTCTATATTTCGGTTTTTGCATTTTAATAGTCTAATTGGAACAACACAATTATAATAGGTGTAATTATAGTTTTAAAAGCAAACACATGTAATTGGAGTGATACCAAAGTCCTTAAAACGCTTGAGTTACAGCACAATGAAACAGTTCGAGATTTTGTTGAGATGGATGCTTTTCTTATGCTTTAAGATAATATATTCACTTTTCACCAAAGTAATTTACATAAATGGGATTTAATATACTTGATAAAATCTGACATAACTGCATGCGTCAATACACCACATAGAATACGACAATAACTATGATTAAAAAAGTACTTTCCATGTTAAAATACACAAATATTTTGTTTACACAATGCATCGTACGTCTTTCCGTCTTAAATAATTAAAGACATCATTCGAACTGTACTTGTAATCATTACCAGCATCAAAATATAAAAACAATATTTTTCCAGCAATTATTTAAATGTCTGTTAGTACATAATGACATTATTTACCTTTAGAAATTACCCGAGGTACTTTAAAATAAGCCAAGAGTATGTTGTTTATGAACGTCAATATTACTCTTGTTCACAGCCTTCTATCTGTGTATCGAAGAATGCATAGCATTGTAAATCTATAACTCTGCATCCACTCGACACATTTAAAAACAAAAGTATTTTGCATTGAAAGGACATTTTTAGTTATAGGCAACATCTATTTGCCAGCGTCTTATACAAGTGGAAGTGAGAAATGTTTACTTGTAAAATTAATCATATTATGTACTTTATGAAATACATGAAGATATGAGTGTATAATAAATGCTTGTATCAGATAAATGATTTACTGATTCGTTAATACTGCGGCATAATCAAATTGCGATGATTTTACAATGATCAAAGTGAATTCAAAAACGGTAATTGTCTCTGGAGACCTACATCGTAAACTCAAAATAGGTATTATAGACCACTACACTCAAGCTGCTTACTATTTTCGTAGACAAAGTAACAAGATATATGTCTCTAGTGAGATTGAGGGACTATGTACCTATCTTATGTGGGGTACGTAAAGGGGTTCTTTGTGAGAGAGAGGGTGGGCAGCCATTGAACCCGGGGTTAATATCCGTCCGCTATGTCTGTACCGGAGACGCCGCGTGCTGAGATTTGCACACCTTAGCTTCAAAAAGACACCCTATATACCTTGATCACAGGACTTCAGATTGAGGTATAACAGATCAAATTTATTACTCGATTTTCAATTTTAGATACTGTCATTCCCTGTCTAGCCTTTGACCACATAATACTCGTGAGTGACCTTTATAAGGAAATTGAAGTCGAAAATTGAACATCAAGGTATTTCTTGTAATCTTGTTTTCAATCAGAGATAATGGAGTATTTTGAGTGAGGTTGTTGTTGTTGTTTGGGATTCTAATTTAAGTTGAAATATGAAAGCCATCTATTTTTAAACTTGTATGGATACTCTTTAAATCGTTTTGACTATTACTTTTACTCTCGGACAAGTTAGGTTTGTGTGGCGAGTGTGTTTTTACATGTTTTCCAGCCCTTGACATGACACCAATGGCAAAACCCTCGCTACTAAATTTATAGAAAACATTATTAGGCATGTTAGTAGATTTTATTTTTTCGAAAATTAAAACAATATTTATTTTCAGAGGACCTCTTGTAAAAAAATGTGTCATAACAAGACAATAAAAGACTGCTGGCAACAGTATCTAAGCTAAGGTTTACCTGTTCGAGGTGACTGGCAGTGAGTCAAACCTATCTATTGTTAAAGTTTGTTTCTTCTTTGTTTCTGTCTGACGGTGATTTTCCACTATGACCAACCATTTGTTGCCGCCTTACAGGAGGCGTCATTTGGATTGCGTTATTAATTGCGCTAATAAAGCATTTTGAGGCCATCAACCCAAACATCTTCAAGTCAAAGGGATGTTGTTCTTGCCCATTTACATTCACTGTCATGATCATGTCCCTTTTACTTTGCACGCTATTGACGGTACCAGTCATAATAGACGCGGAGTCCTGCGTCAGGAAGATGACGCTGCCCTGCGTCAGGAAGATGACGCTGCCCTGCGTCAGGAAGATGACGCTGCCCTGCGTCAGGAAGATGACGCTGTCCTACGTCAAGAAGATGACACCTCGTGGACAACAGACATTCATCGTAATCATACAAGGTTACATACGCTGTAAAAACATAAATCAGGAAGATATAGTAACTAATTAATAAATAGCCAGAAAAAACGTTTTACTTAGATGTTGTTAAAATGATTTCTGTTTGAGGTTTTTTTCAATGAAGGGTCAAGGGTGAAATAGACGGGAGTAAACCGTTTTGGTGCGACCGATGGTTTATGAGTAGACTTGGTAGACATTGGAAGTTTCATCTCTACGTGGTCGTATTCGGACGTCATACTTTGTCTCCAGAACCTATTACAGCGCCATTTGGGAGCTTTTGATCCAGTTAGTCCTGTCAGCGGAAACCGTCCCTCGTTATACTGACCTTTCTCAGGACAAAACTTAGGTACAGTTATAGATTGGTATCGTTTTCTGTCATCTTTTTTCAGTGGCTTTTCGACTCTTGCGATATGAACTTCAATATCTTCGTATCTTTCAGGTCCCCTTGCTGCTATTTTCCAAGGATTTTGTCTACTAAGTGTGTCATAGATGTTTCCAACAGATCGACCCATCTGTGTTGGAGGCGTCATTAATCGATTGTAATCACACTTCGAAGTATCCTTCCCCTTTGTAAGATCCTCACAACTGTCTAAATTAGTCACACAGAGATTTGTCAATGACTGAAATGTCCTTTGTAACTTTGTCTTCTTATTTGCACCAAACTTTTTCAGCTTCGCCGTTGCCTCGCTGGCCTTGCTCTTCGCATTTGAGGCAAATCCTTTTTTATTGTCCTGGGCAGGAATCTGGATGCTCTCGTAATAGTCACCCGACTTCCTCAAGTCTGGTTCTGACTTCCGTAGGTGGTTAAAATGTTGCCTCATTGGCACTGTTTTTGACTCTTTAAGATGATGGGTGAAGTGTTCCTTCATCGATACATTGTCAGTGATATCAACAATGCTGTAGCATAGTGCTTTAGCTGGTTCCTTGTAATGTACCTCGGAGTTATTCACTTTGGACGATGTTGTCTTTGACTTCTTTTCAAACAGCTTGGGTTCAACTAGAAACGAGCGGCCAGATTTGCTGGGTTTGGTGTTCTCATACATGTGTTTCTTCTTCTTAGCCTTCCTGTAATGGATGAAAATAAAAACAAAGAGGTTGAATAGGGAGAAATATCAACATTAAAATATATTATCATACGAATAAAGGAGCTTCATTTCCACAATCGCATACTATACATATTATAAAGAAAGGTGACCAGCAAAATGATTTAAAGGGCTTATAAACATGCATTTTTATTTATATGTAAAGCTATATTGAATCGGACAGGCATGTTTTTATTGAAAATAGTAAATGTATAGGATGATCGCCAGTAATTATGCCGAGATTATTTGAACATGTATTTGTAAACATACCTAGGATTTGAATATAAATTCATTTTTGTTTGTTTGTGTTTTGGGTAAGTATTTCGTCAGTAGATTGGCAGTAATTTTTCTTTGACACTTTTTCTATCAAATTATTTGAACGACACCCTGAATTTATAGAATAAATTATTCGTATTTTAGTATTTCAAATCAAATATTGTGAAGGCCATATTTTGACATATGAGTCCCCAAAATAGCTGCAACTCCTTTCAAAATATCTCGTAACTATTCAAAGTCATTATCAACTTCTAGTCGCCAAGTTGAGCCCGACACGACCCTCTAAAGTTCTTTATTCACGACCAATGCCAACAAATTTGAGTTCCAAGATTCTATAAATGTCAAATAAATCTTGAAGCGGAAACACGGGCTGAAGACTTGGATCAGTGACGGAAAGATCTCCCTGATCAAAGATGAAATGATGCTCAAGAGTGGTTGACAGTCTGTCTCGTAAAGTATTAAGATCTTATTTAGTGTCCTGCCTAAAAGGAAATCACCAACTTTATTTGGAAAAGCTGGCTGTGTATGGTCAGAAAAAGAGCTCTTCAAAGATACAACTCTATTATGTTATTTTAGATGGTGACGTATAGGTTTAGGGAAAATTTCCCGATTGTATCAATTCATACGTTCTATGAATATTAAAAAGGGTCAATTTCCAACTTCTTAAAGATCATGTATAGACCAGTAGCAAGTATTGTGTAGTCAATATCAAGGCAATGTGAAAGAGTGGTATATAAGTTCGTCGCGACACTTATAAACAAAATCCTGTTCTGTAGGCTTCAGTACCTTCACCTTTACATCATGTATAGATTAACATTTAAATAGAGGCACTACGTAGTCATAATTACTTCATGGGATGAATTAAGAACTATGTCAGACGTCCTGTAACCGAGGAAATAATCATCATGTTCATGAAGAATTTTCAAAGGGCTATTGACATAACGGAATTCAGTCAAACTGCGTAAATTGAATTACCTTTTTTGACAATTCTATTCACCCTTGGGCCCACAGCTTTGGATGAAATTAAAAAGCATTCAGCGAAATTCTTTATTTGTTGCTTCATTTTCAAGTGTTATTGTTTTGAGGTTTTGAGTATGAAATCAAAGCGCAATCATTGGTTGCTAATTTTTAGAAACTGTAAAGTCAGGAGGAAGACGACAGTCCGCCCTACCCCTCTAAATAAAACCTTGCCCTAGCCAGATTTTCAAAAACCTGCACAGTATTTCAGTATTTCAGTATTTTCTCCTATTCATAACATGAAGATTATTCCTGCTTAAGATTCTAGAACCAATATAAAACTTAGACTTTCTTTTTTATTACATAATCTTTTTCCTCTAACATAACGGGCTTTACATTACTTTTTCTGTAAGAATCGGTGTGTCTTTAAGACGTAAGTTCGAAAGGTCTAAATGATAGAGGGTTGTGCTGTAACTACTCCTCCTACCTTCTACGTCGATAGATGAAGAGATGAATTAGTCCACACACCATAATCACCATAGCAACAAACACGTAAAGGCTCGTCTGGATTACAAATGAAGTCTGAGGGCGCCCTGAAAGTTAAAAACAAATTAAAAACAAATTAAAAAATTGTTACAAAACGGTTGTATTAAACATTTGACCAGGACAATGGATATAGTGCTAAATGTCTTGATATTGAATATATCCAGACTTTGCTTTCTTTTGAATTTCCATCCAACTTTTCACTAATTACTACTATTAAGTTCGTTAAATATGACGATGTCTATATTTGTCATGTTTGTGCTATATCTGAATTTCTCGGTAAAGGTTAACAAGATTCTTCCCTGCGGAGGTTCTATTTACTCTCTTATAAATTAATTTATGTTTCATGACACGTTGAGTTATCGTGTCTTGTACAGATATGATGAAATTACTTGCAGAAAAACCGATATTATATTTCAGTTTTATAAGAACCTTACAGTAAATATTGAATGTTTTCTTAACATACATGTACATTACAATCAATTATCTCCTTTTTACAATTTCTTTTCATTATATACATCGTTGATATCTTGAGCATATACAAACACCATGGAGCATTAGAAAGGTCTATACTGTAAATTTAGGATCCACTTTGATAATAACAAAATAGTCCGATTTTAATATGGGGGAAAATCAGCACTTTGCTATGTCAGCTGGCACTCTCGGTATGTTTTGCAAACAAACAAACATATACAGTAAAACATATACACAATATACATATAACCCCTAACGATTTGGCAAGTGAACAATAAACGATAAATAAGATCTGTGTGAAGCAGCAGTAATCAGTGCAGACATGAGCTTTCAAATACTAATCGCACAACAAAAACATTCGATAATATTTACAATGAAACAGTAATCCCACGAAATCCATAGGTAAACAACATTGAGAATGAATATCTATGTATTATATCTATTACATTGAAATTAGTTATGAATATGTTTGAAAACTGTTCAATATGGATTGCTTGGAAAGGTGCACCACAAAATCAGACTTGGAATATGTGAAATTTCGAATGTGCAAGCGTTAAACAGCTATTATTTTATTATTTATTTTGTATCCAAAATGATCGCATCCCTAAATTAGGATTTATATATAATTTATTTGTAATGCTAAATGTTTGTCTTGTTCCTTAGAGACGGATTGAATATACAAGAAACCAAAGTCATTCTGAAATCAGCCGCATAATTTGCCGAGGTGTTGTAGCATTACGTTGCATATGGTTGGCTAAGTGGGAACTTTATCTATTCCATGAACTTGGATTAATAGTCTGTCACCAGAGCTTAACACACCTTGACTAAGATTAATTTCCTCTTAAAGAAATAAATCGCTTATTTCTCAGAAAGCAAAGTCAGTGTGAACGTCGAAGCAGGCTATTATAAGTCGCGTAGTTCCCTTAGTGATGCTGTTGATCGCGTGTGTTAAGCTAATATAAATCAAATGGAAAGAGGTGGGGAATGTCCTTATGAATCCCTGTCAAACAGCCAAATCTGCCTAGCCGGAGATGTTTAATTCTACGCAATTACCCCGCCACTTGAGAAGTCCAAGGCACAGCCCTACTAAGTTAAGACTTCCAGCCCCGGAGACTTATATGCGACTTTACCCTGGGCCTTAGTAATGTGTACACACTACTGGGCACGCTTGTCGAGTAACCCCTTTGGTATAACTAAGGTTTAATGTTTTGAAACGTACCACAAGATAACCACACCCGAACATGACAGTAATCTCTTGTTATTAACGGATTCATGATGATGTCTTACTTAAAACTTCAACTAAATTAAAGCCTGTGTGTGAAACCGCTACATCCCAGATTAGGTATATAAGATGAGGATATTTTGCTTTAAGCTTGGCAGGATCAGTAAATACTTCCTGTTGCTTTTTTCCACTTTAATTTCTTCACAGAACGACATACAAACATCCCAAGCCATGAGGGGATATTGCGTCAGGACTAGCTCCTGCATTATTTTTGAAATTTTCAGTCCTTAAAATAGATTCTCAAATGTCTCCGCATAAATATTTAAGTCCACTGAGATATCTTAAGAGCTACCGGACGTTTGTGTATGTTGATATTGGTTATATGAAGCATGTTTCGAGAAAAAAAACCAACTCGCTGTGTTTTGGCATGTGTGGAAGTTCCATATCTACATTAAATATAGTCCAATATTTCTTTAGGATAAAAAGTAGAAGTAGTTATCGAGAGAGATATATTTAAGCCAGTGAGTGGCTTTCATAAGTCATGAGAATGATTTTGACATACACGAATTATTCACAGTGTGATGAGTATAGGTAACATTGTAACATTTCTATAATTTATATATATTTTTGGTTATAATAATAATAATGATAGTGAAGATTTATAATACGCCATGTCTGTCAAAAAGACACTCATACCATGTAAGCATACACCTTGCCCGCTTCAGAATGAGTGAAGTATTACTGCTCACAGTCGAGTGGTTAGAACATTTGAGTAGAGATGGAAGGTCGTGGGTTCAATCTCCGGCATGGTATAAAGACGTGTCATAATGGTAAGATGTTCACCTATAACTACGACTTATTCCTCTGTGAGGATTCCAGAAAGCCATTGTAATTCATGATTTTCAATTTCTATGTGGAGTGAAATAATGATGGCATGTGCTTGTTAGATGCAATGGTATCTCATTTTGTAAAGCAATATCAGTCCATACCTTATGCTATCATTCTCCTTCGTGTATTAATTTCTTCTTTAAGGACAATAATAAGCGACATGAAACCGTACATAACAAAATAAGCTTCCTATTAAATGATATACGAATCTCTGTTGTGCCCCATTATATCTTCATGTATAACAATAAATATACTTTGACCGCACCACTGCAAAAAGACACTTCATCACACCAACGTCTTTTTTAAGTAGAATTACCGAATAATTATCACAATTTACAATGTTATAATCGATGTATGAATTCACATACCATTTTATATGATTTAGAATAAGATCTAAGTTGAACTGAGAATATTATGAGTATCAAAGTCATCTTACGTGCTGATTTTGTCAAACTATGATGAGCCATAAATGAGTCGTCTTCGAAATCAGATCTAAAGTTTGCATGTGGGCCGAACCTCGCACTGTTGAACTTGCTTAGTCCTTTGGGTGATTCCATAGTATACGTGGCAGCGGGTCAAAGAATACACTCAAAACATTGAGGAGGCTTCTACCATGACACGTTGGTTAAACAATCATCCAATCACACTTGCTCCGTAGTATACTTGTTTCAATATGATAGATGTCTAACAGGCAGATCTTCTTCAAAATAGTTCATTCTTAAACATTCGTTGCAAACACGATGCTGTCTCACAATAACATTCCTCGATAATTGAATAAAAGACAGTTCTCAATGTTAAATCAAAGGAACCAATGTTTACCAACAGATCCAAGAAATGTACTTCTGTTCAGAATATATTTGCTTGAAGTGAAATGAGAGAAGTAGTTTACACAGTAATGATGAACGTTGTCTGACTGGCGATGTGACTCAGTGTGCGATCTGAAATAAACTCTGCTTCTTCCCCCAAAACACTGTCGATGATATACTTAGGCTAGGTATGCGCATGCGCATAGCTTCCTCTCCTACTCTGTCAAGTCGGTATATGGCAGACTATTACGAGTAGGTAAGTTGTTTAGTTGGACGTTTACCACGTAAACGTGTGATAAAGATATGTCAAGATTATAAACATCATATAATTTAATTCTTGGAATATGCCTATATACATCAGACAGTTTCTCATGGGATACCTGTATTCTGAGTATCAGAGACCTCAGTATCAGAGGAAGCGGTTTACCCATATTATATTTGTAAACTGAGTTTTAACACTGTTCATGAAGTTTGTAAAATCATTATCCATTTACGGTCACAGGAAGATGAAAAATACTTATTTGAAAAAAGCACTCATCAGATTATTTATCTAAAACAAAGCATGCTGTGTACACCGTTTACACTAATGTCTATGTTAATTTAGATTTGCCACTCTCCACCCAGGTTAAGTATATGGGTACCAGATATGCAGAAAGAAAACTTTCTTGAAACTATAATAATACTTTCTATGAAGCCCAGTAGATTCTTAATATCATCTTTATTGTTATTGAATGGTTTAGCATATTTCCATTCAAAGAGCTTGCATATCTAAATGATAAATGGACGATTTAGCCTAAAATTCTATTTCAAATATAAATATATTACGTGAATTGAAAATTGATCCATTCACAGGAATATTGCTTTTCCCATTACAATCCAAACATTGTCAATTCAAATGTTGGTAACTAGTTTTAAGCCTACTAGACGATCCTGATCCGGATTAGAATAACATCTTTAGAATGATATTACATTTATGATTTAATTTGTTAATCAACGACGTTAATGAATTTGTGCTGGCAGTTTGGGATTTCGTTTAGTTTTAGTCTATTGAGTGTAGAATGCAGATTTGTCTTGAAAATCATATCATAACGCGAATCACGTGACATTTTATTATCCGATACGGTTTGAATGTATGCACCCCATCAAATGGCAATGACATCCAACATGATGGAAGGGATAATCACCAGGGCAATGTCATAACCCTTGTTGTAGAATCGCTATAATCTGGGATCAGGTTTCCTAATCTATGCGACATAAGCTCAGGGTGAGCAAATGGATGATCCCGAATGTTCTGCATATTGTGGGTTTCGTTTCGCTTTTTTGATCATGAAAGAGAGATTTAGTTTTAATCGGAAATCTAACGATCACTCCACCTGCCACGATGATACTTGATGAAGAGGCCTCTGATATGATGACTCAATCGAAGACTGGGGGCTCAAACTACTTTATCAAAAAAATTGTAATTATCCGTTTCTCTCAAGGTCATCTATTTGTCACCCCCTCCCATTCCTTTTTATCTCTCTCTCTCGCTTTTCATTTCTCTGTCTCTCTTTCACTCCCTCCCTCCCTTTCTCTCTCCGTCTCTTCATCGCTCTCCCCTCCCCTCTCTCTCTCTCTCTCTCTCTCTCTCTCTCTATTTATCTATCTTTATTTCTTTCTTTATTTCCATTTGTCAAGCTATCGATCCCTTCCTCTCCTTCTCTCATCCCCCACACACATTCATCTCTCTCTTTCTTTCTCGAACACTCTCCACCCCTCCCCCTCTATCTCTCTTTCTCTCTCTCTCTCTCTCTCTCTTTCTCTTTATACCTCTCTTTCTCTACTTAATTTTCTCCTTAGTGATTGAAACCAATTGATAGTGAAGACTTTTGAAATATCCAGAACGATTCCACAACATTGTAATTAACATAAGCTTCTGTGACAACGGATCTTATTATTCTGTCAGAAAAAAAATCCCTGAAATTGATATGCAGACTTATTTGAAAATAGATAGATGTTGATTACTTGTTTGTTTGTTTGTTAGTTTGTATAATTATATGCGTGTGTTTTTTTTTTGTTGGGGGGGGTACTCGTTTTTTACCAACATTTTTCGCTATCGGAGGCAGTCAAACACTGCACATTCAAAACTGAAGTGTCATTTTGCAATAAATCAGTTTTTAACTTTTTTAGTTTACATGTAGTTTGATCACATGGCGGGCCCTAGTGGGACCGATTTTTAATCCTCTGACCCGGCTACTTTTTAAGTTAACTGAAGTAGTCTCACAACTAACATTAATCAGACGGAGCTTTAGAATATGATGGATTTTAAATAGTTTAACACTAATTAATATTTTGAGAAAGTTAATATTTTTTCCATGGCTTGAAAGACAACAAGAAACAAGTATATCTTATCAACTCTAATTTGAATTTTGTTTTGTGTCGGAACAAAGCTGACGTATTAGTTTTAACACATGTACGCCCCCAAATAAGTAATTAACAAACCTAAGTGCTCTCTCCCTATAATTATAGCTTGATTAGATATTTGTTGTGGGCTTTGCTTCAATGTCAAATATCCTGTTTGTATATGTTGGGTGTGGCAGTACAAAGAAACCCCACTCTGTTTTCATTAAAAAAATTATTCCAAGATTGATGATCTTTCCTCGAAGGATAACCACAACACTCTTTCATATAACCAGTTGATCGCCTATTAAGGATGCCTATAATGTGGGCTTCCAGTAGTGGCTTAATTTAGCTGCAAACGTGATGTAAGGGTAACACACCCCCTCTGCGCCAGCCAGAGATGGAGGCCAGACAGGTGTTCTCGAAGTCTCGGTCTCGACCTGACCCCAAGATCGAATGTAAATGAACGCGATCAAGAAGATTTAATTTATATCAACTATGGTGTCAGCTGTGTCTACGAGTATTCCTTAATAGCATTATCAATGTAAGCAACGCTCACTATTAGCTTCATTGCAAATGCAAAATGCAAATATGAAATATGTGAAATAAAACACCTCGGTGAGAGGACAAGAACAAACAAAAAAGCTTTAATGTTTTTATCAAATAGTTCCTCACTTCGATGAGGCAATTAATTTCACAGGACCGTCTTACCATAACCATGGACTCTTTAACTAAACGTTGTCCATGACAAAAACTGGTGTATATACCAACATAATATGCTATGAGATTTATCTCGTCAAAGATACAGATACAGATACAGGTTAGGGTTAGGGTTGGAATTCGGTTTGAAGGTTAGGATTTGTGTTATTATCAGGGTAAGGTATAGCGTTTGCTCCAGGATTCAATTTGAACATTCTATTAGTAAAATATTGACCGTGGAGCGATTGCCACCAGAGCATGTGTCGCTTTATTGAAAGCCTATTCAAATTCAGTTTTAAGACATTTCGTTAGAAACATATACGATTTAAAGGTACTATGTCCCATTTGTAGGCCAAACAAATGAAATGGTTAAATCCCAACTGCATTTGAAAGATAATACCGGTACTAATTTAGAACTTTCGTCAAAACGAAAGGTTTTGAAAAAGTCTTTAAGTGGGAAAATAACTATCACTAGTTATCGAATTGACTTTAGCGATTGCCAAAGATTCAACCAGGCCAATTTGGTTATTGATGTAGACAAATGCTCATAGGGCTTGACAATATCTTTAAGTGGGAACATAAGCAACCATTAGTTGTCGAATCGACTTTAGTGATTGCAAACATGTTAGTAATGGTCCGATTTTCAGACCCTTGTACCGAGTGGTCGTCCGTTTCGTGCTGCGCAAAGATTCAATCATGCAGTTTAACTTTGGCCATTACAAGCAGTAGGTAATTGGTGCAGACAAAGGATCATGAACCCTTTACAGCTCATTTTATGTATGTTATTACCAAAGAGGGAAAAAAAGAAGTCAGTCAGTCACTCAATAGTAAACTATCTAACAGTGAAGTCTAGAAAGTAAACGGGTTTTCTTGCTTAGTTTGAATATAAGGACACTGCTAACATTTAAATTTCACAGATAGGACATACGAGACATAATCATAATTCCTGCAAAGTTCTACAGAATTTGATGTTGGCTGCAAATGGGACATAGTACCTTTATTTTAGATCATAGAGTTATGGCAACACAGGATGACCATCAGTCAAATAACCATATTGTTCAATTATTACATGAACAGTAAATGATGACCACGAAGAACCAACAAAATACTAAATTAAATGGAATGCGTACTTGTATCATAACGAATAGTTAGAGAAAGGAAATTAATTTGACATACTTACCGAGGTTTTATACAATCTTCAACCAGTCCAGTGGAGTTCCAGAAGAAAGGGGCACACGTGGAGCAGTGTCATTATACCGACGATAATATTCAAGTCATGAAATGTTTTGATAATATTGTGACATCGGACCGATACAAGTCTACAACATCCTAGAGCGTACGGAAGTGGGCTCGGTATTCTTAATTAATCTCCTCCGAGTTTTCTAGCGTAGTTATCTCCCTAAAGCTGATGACATGCGAGGGTTGGACGCTGATAAAGCAACATGGCTGTCAACACTTCTTCACTAAATAAGAAGACACGTCCTAACGTCATACTTTGTTGAAGTTTGGTCACGATATAACAGCACATGACTTTAAGTGAGACCTGGGATATTTATCACTCAGAGAAATCTCAACTCTCACTTAAAAAGAAAAAGAAGGGTTGAAAATATAACCTCCCTTTGATTACACCGATATCGATGAATATTTAACCGCTTTGTAACGATACTTTCAGCCGGTGCTTGTGTTAACATGGATATGGGTATCGACAATAGATACATTGTAGCAAGTTTACCATACAGTTCAACCTGTGCCAACTTGTTAAATTTCAAAGCTTTTATACATTTCTTATCATTTCTTTTGATTGATTTTAAACAGTGACGAAACTTTTCTTCTCAAATGAAACTTAGGATTGCTTCACTTCGAGAATTGCAAAAAATAGTAATCTAGGTTGGCGAAAGAACTTGAGAAATTATATAAAAATATAGCATTTCCCTACATGTAGACAGTCACGCTTTATAAATTACGAGGAATAACTGACAGGTTTGGACCACAAATTCATGCCACATGTTCCATATATCAATTTTTGTGTGCAATGCATAAGATGTTTATCACGACCAAGGTAATTATTTTTCATGTTGATCATTCCAAATCCTCACACTTCACATACTTTCA